CATGAACGCAAATAAATTGATCCAGTTAGAATTCACAATATGTCCATGTTTTGTCGTTTAAACTCATATGGACATGTTGACTTTAAATGCATAACAAAAATATAAAAATATTCAATGGTTAATATGCAATTAAAAAAATTCATGATAGTCCAACAAAGTACTCCGTATGTAATGTGGATATTACCAGTGTCATAATCTGTAATGTGGTGATGAATATTACGAACCATTGTAATGTAAAGTGTCACAGTATGTCATGTGGTAATGTGTATTACAAAGAGTTGTAATGTAGACAGGGCAGATTGTGAAGTGTGACACGGAAAGGAAAAGGAGGGCAAAATCGGGAGAGAAAGAAAGAATGTGGCGGGAGAGGTCCTAGTTGGGGGATAAAAAACATGAACTCCTATTTTAGGGATAAGCACAATGTTTAGTCCTATTAGGGGTGATTTCTAGCTAAGTAATACGGAATAGACACCTTTTTTAATTAAACAAACCTAAATTTTACAAAAAAGAAAAGGAAAAGAGCAATAATAAATCATTTATTTTGTGGGGAAAGCAATAAAAGTGCAATAAAGAATGCCGTTAGTAAGAAAAACAGAGTTCATCGTATTAAATTAGATTCCTAAACTTCTTGTTTATTAACCGAACTACTCCCTTCGTTCGGAAATATTGTTCACATTTGATTTTTCTTGGTCGAAATTTGTAAATTTTGATTACAATTTATGGAGAAAACACAGTGTTATGATATAATTTAATACTAGTGTATTCATAATGAAACGTAGTTTTCAAATATCAAATTTTTATAAAATATATCTATGTATAAATATAGATATTAATAATCAAAATATAATATTGGAGACTTTGAAAAGTCAAATGGAAAGAACATTTTAATACAAGAGTAAATAAATTTGGTGCAAATGGTCGCAAGTCGTTGTTAATATTCTAAAGTACGATATAGGTCAAAAAAATAATATAGGCGGAGAATAGAAATAGGTCAAAAAACAATATAATATAGGCTGATGAGATGGTCAAAAAACAAATTCACACACATTTTAGCTAACTCTTATTATTATTTTTTCATTTTTTTCGGCAGCGAAGGTGTTGAAATTTTATTCTTTGTAATAACTATTTGTGTTCATCGGACACGAGACAATCTCTCTAAAGAATAGACTAAGGGGGGTGTATTCAATATGGATTCTGTAGTATTTTTTTGGATTTCAAAAGTCTGTGAGTATTCAATCCCGATTTAAAAAAGTCATTTAAAATCTGGAAGTATTCAATTCAGATTTTAATATATCCTTCTAAATATAATGGTATTCAAAAATCAATTGATTTTAAAAGATTTCTATAATATATGGATTTTGATGGATTTAGGCTTTAGGTATAAATTAAAATCTAAGTCCAAAATCTCACAAAAAATGCAAAGATTTTGCAAATCCACGCAGGGTTCGTCTCCTTCACCATCTAGCCTCCAACCTTCCCCGGCAAATCCTTCATTGAATACTTCCGATGGCAGCTGCTCGACGTGGATTACTTCCGATGGCGGCGACTCTTCAATTCTACGCAGGGTTGTTCCGTGCCCCCATCTCGCCCAATCTTCATCACGATGGCGGCGACTCGACGTGGAGCCACGATGACGGCGACCCTCGAATTAGGCAGAAGAAAGGACGAAGATCGAAGAAGAGAGAGGGGCTAGGGTTTCTAGGGAGGAAGAAGGGAAAAAAGAAAAGAAAAAAAAAAGGAAAGAAAATATAGAAAGAACGAAGATGGAGGAAGAAGGGGCTAGGGTTTCTAGGGAGGAAGAAGGGAAAAAAGAAAAGAAAAGAAAAAGAAAAAAGGAAAGAAAAAATTGAAAAAATGGAGATGGCGGAAGAAGGGGCTAGGGTTCATGGGGGAAGGAGGAAAAAAAGAAAAGAAAAAGAAAAAGAAAAAAGAAAAGAAGAAAAAAAGAATAAAAGAAAAGTAAAATATAATTCTATAAAATCCTTTCATAAAATACATTAGAATCTAGCTAACTCTGCGTAAACTTAAAACAATCCAATGAACTTACAGAATCTATGGATTCTAAATAATCTATCAAAATCCTTTAAAATCTAAATTGAATACACCCCCTTAAGATTATACTATGACCTATCCTCCTCACCCTGTCTCGGGCTCGGGTGGCGTTCCACCTACTTCCTCTGTCCAGAAATATTCTTCTCATTTGATTTTTTACGGTCTCCAAGATTGCACTTTGACTACTAATATCTTTATTTATACATGGATATATTTTATAAAAATTTGATATTTGAAAGTGAAATTTGCACTAAATAGGACTAAAACATAATGACTTTACTAATGTAGGACTTAAACTTTTTTATTCCCTAAATAGGACTTAATAATGACCTTGTGGAAGGAATAATGCCTAGTAATGATGGACATTTAGTAGAATAATGACTACTTGATAATGACTAAAGGTCCTAAATTGGGAAATAAAAACATATGGTCCTATATTGGAAAAGTCATTATGTTTCATTCCTATTTAGGTAAATTACTCTATTTGAAAACTATATTTCAAAATGAATATATTCATACTAAAGTTATATCGTAATACAATGTATTTTTTCCACAAATCATAGTCAAAGTTTACAAACTTTGACCAAGAAAAATCAAATGGGAAGAATATTTTCGGACAGAGGGAGTATAAGGTTTAAATTGTATACTACGTAAGTAATGATAGGTGAGGAGGGAGCAATGAATTGAGGCGTGGGTCCTATGCATGCCTACATACTACTCCATATACTCATCATTCCATCCTTTAATTTGTTCTCATCTACACATAACAAATATATAGGGCTCCATTTACTATAAAAAAAGTGAAATTTACACTGAAGAGGATTAAAACATAAGTCGAATTAAATTTTTTTATTCCCTAAATAGGACTTAATAATGACTAGTGAAAAGAATAATGTCCAAGTGATGCTGGACATTTAGTTGAATAATGACTATCTAGCTTTGTTTTTTTAATCAAATTTTCTAGTTCCACTTCATGAAAATTTAAAAAAAAAAATTAAAAGTATATAGTTAAAATTTAATTCGAAGCAGAAACAATTTTTTTATTTGAAAATGGAGAATTATACTCGGTACTCATCAATACAAATAAATATTAATAATAATCATTCAATGAATAAAAAATTGTCTGTTTCAAATTGTCATTAGCTAGAAAATAGTTAGCATTTTTCAAAATTTTAGTTAACAATCTATTCGAAAACAAAGCATTTCCCAATTGACTTTGTAGCTTCATAATCAAATGTTACTTACCTATCAATTGGAAGCTAAGATGTTTCTATTTTGGCTTTTTTTGTTTCAATCAAGCAATGCCCTAAAGAAAAGGGTTATTAATATTTTTCATAAATTATGTCAACTGTGTTTAGAAATTGAATCGATCAAAAACTCAAATTCTCTTAAGACGATGTAGAAAAAAAGATTTTGTACCCTAATAAATTATCTTCTGCGAATGTCATATGTCCGTGAATTTGTTCGCACATACAATATAATTGTCTATATATAGGCAATTCTCCAAAACAATTACATTGACAATTGTTATATGTGTGTAATATAACAACTCATTAGCCTATAATAATTAAGTTAGAGGAGGACACCTAGCTAGAAGAAATAGATGAGGACAAAGCTAAGAAATGGTGATTAATTAATTAGCTCGTGGTGGTTATGAATTATGATTAGTCCAAGACTGTGTATAGTGACAATAATATATATACAGATGGAGAGTTAATTAATCCATGGTAACATTTAATTATGAGTATATATATATATATATATGGAACGCCTTCAATTCATTTAAACATATTGTATGGTACAGTACATAATAAGTATGCAAAAAAAATAGTCGGCATTAATTAATTGGCATGGTCAGGGTCGTCGTCGAATAATGAATAATGATGTTTGTTCCAGAGTTGCAGTTGTGCACAAATTAAAGGTTTGACATTATTAAGATGTATGTATGAAAGGCATGCATGTTTGAGGTATGGCATATGCCATTTTCACATGCAAGCTGCCCGGCCAATGCTGCAATACACCATCATCATACTCGATCGTAATAAATAAGCATACATGAAATACCCTCCTTTTCCATTCCATAAAATGATTTGCAGCCGGTGAGGCCTAGTTCAGCGGTTGGCATAGGAGCATAGTTTTAAAAATCAGATCAGACCGGCCGGTTCGGACCGGGAACAGGCAAAACAGAGGCCGAACGGATCCGGTCCGGCCCTTTGGACCGCAATGCGCTCCGAACCAGTTTGAAGCGGTAAAAACCGGCTGATTCACCCGGTCGAACCAGTTTTTTTCAAAATTTAGCCAAAATATCATCACTACGGTTCAAACCTTTAACCTCTTGGTTATTACACCAAGTTATGACCCAATCAAGCAAGAGCATTTCTTGTAACATTTTGGTTCCAAATGGTATATATTCCATAATTAAAAGAGTAAATATGCATTAAAAGATTTCTTTATTTCTTAAACTAGGATTCTTACATTTAAAAATAAAAATAATTCTAATACGGAGTATGTGTCGTGAAAAGAATTTATTTGTATATTTTTGGATATTAGACAAAATATATAAAGAAAAATAAAAATATCATTCTTTTATAAAACTTTTAATGTACTTCTCAATATGTAAATTTTATTTTAAATAATTGACTAACAAAATAAATTATAGTGGTTAGAATTTTAATCAAATTTCATAAAATTTTATGTACATATGAAAGGAGTTAATTTTATTTTAAACAAAATAATTATATATAACATGTTTAAACCACTCGTTCGACCACCTGAACCATTGGTTCGCCCAGTGAACCAGTACCTGGACCAGTTCGGTTCTTAAAACTATGCATAGGAGTGCTACAAGGGAGAGACTCCGAGTCCAAAGCCCGGTGACTGCGATGAGAGGCAACCATGCAAAGGATGGAGTATCTGCAAGTACGAGGCGCGAAACCCCACACTTTTATTTAATTATAAGTTAAAGGTTGAAAACAGTTGACTGAAAAAAATCAAAACTGGACAAATACTCCGAGGCAAAGGTAGTATTATTAAAATAATTGGAGTAAAAGTAAATTATTTTTATCAAACTATATTAAATATGGTTTAATTGTACAAAGAAGAGAGAGTTTCTCACATGTATTTCTAATGAAAATAGAAAAAATACATGGACTAACGAAAAAAATTAACAAAAGGACCAACCGTGCAGTGCTTACGTGACCGTGTCACGGCCGTTAACTTTGAATATTCCTCACGTCAAAGTCTGTTGCTGATATTGTCTAGTTTGGGCTAAGTACTCACGAATTTGTTTTCAAGCACCTCATAAAAGGCCTCGTAGTGACCCATCTTTTTTTTTGGGTCTCCCTTACGTTTATATCTGCTGTGAGGGTGGGTTGAATTCCAAACACAAAGTTTAACATTTTCAAACTCCAAAGTATAAACATTTAGGGTGCAATCAAACACAAATTGTTAACAGCTATTCTAACAGCAATTAGCAACAGCTCAAAGCCTCAAACGAACAGCCCCCTAAACATTGTTCATTCATCAAGACAATTCAAATCTGCACATTTGAATGAACCGACAGCGCCCGAAGAGTTTAAATGATTTTGCAGTTAGTTTAATGACATTGTAGTAGTTAACCTAGTGAATTAAGCAGGCCAGGTGTGGAGTTCAAACTAAGCCGCATTACGATCGCAAGAATGCTGCCCATTGATATGTTGATCACATTGACAGCATCATTGTTCAGCTGGAAATCAAACATGAAGTTTGTTGAATATTTTTTTGAAAAAAATAGTTTTGTTGAATATATTTAAGACTTGTAGGAGAAAAAAAACAACACGAATTTCCATGCATTTTGAGTGTCAAGCAGCGATTATTATGTTCATATGAGTACTTCAAACCAACAACCAGATCGATCAAACTTACCCATCCAAACCCTTCCTTCCCCTGAAACGCAGCACCAATCAGACTTTCGCCAAAGTTGGCAATTTGGGAAGCCAAAACACAGATAGCCACCTCAGGTCTGTTTATCTGCAAGCAAAGGTTTTCAGTAAAGCTTCTGAGTTGTGAAATCCTCTCTCCACACAAACGTTCTTTTGTAATTGTATACCTCAAAAATTGGAGTGCGTTTGAGATGACTCGTTATCAAGGAAAATATTTATTTTCGCAAGAAGAGAAGTGATTTAATTTCATTTTCAACTAGGAAATGCTTGCTGTGTGCTTAAATGAGAAAACATTTTCTTAAAAATAATAAATAGAAATGCACTTTTAAGTTATGAGTATAACATAAGGGGTATCACAGAGAGGCTCTAGATATTTTAATCCTAAAGTCAACTTCATAACTTCAAAACTTTTAGTTCAAGAATACAGTTTTAGTTTTGGCCTGATTGGATACAACACCATCAATTAGCTTTTGCATAAATGTGAGAATAATACAAAAGGCATCAACATACGCTCAGAAGTCCATACCTGACCCGTTATACAAGCAATGGAAGCCAGGAGAATTGAAGCAATAAGTCCAGCAAAAGTCCCCTCCACACTCACTGCTCCTTCTGTTCCTCTTGGAACAGTCTTGAGTGTTGTGACAAGGTATCTGCAATTCAAGTTCCGTCATCTACCAGACAGTTTCCATGAAAGACATATCCCACCTAGATTACAAATGCATTTGTCCCAAACTTGGTATTGAAACAAAGTATACTATGGCAAGTTGCATGCAAAAACTGTTATGCAAGGGCATATAGTGAACGAAAAAACAAATAACAAACCAAAGAATCAATCAGTTTCTATCCTGCCAAACGGGCTCTAAGAAGATAACGGCAGGGAAGATGATATACAAGAAGAGTGGGGGAGTAGTACTGACGTGGTTTTACCAAACGCCTTCCCTATCTCACTGGAGACTGTGTCGCTCAACTTGGTACAAAAACATGCTACAAATCCAAGTTCCCAAAGACGAGAGAAAGCAGCACCAGCGACCCCATTGATCGACAGTAATGCGCAAACACAAGCAGCTGCACTGGAACCAATCACACTTCCAGGTCCTCTCCTTCCCTTCCTCTTTTCTGCTATACCTTGAGCCTCCTTCTCTGCTATTTTCACCTTAGTTGCAGCAGTGCCCTGACAAACTGAGATTACTTAAACCATGTTTCACCTTAGTTGCAGCAATATTAATCTGCTGTTTCATTAGAATATTCATAATAAAGAAGTATTCTATGTGCTAATTCAGCTGAAACTAAATTTACCAACACATTTTTCTTTCCGGAAAATTATGTTAACTCAGTGTCTCAGTCATTTAAGCCAAATACATCTTTTTCAATCCACCATACTCTCTAGATAATCATAAAGACCATGAATAGGGTTCATAAGTTTCCAGAGCATTAAAAAAACAAGGAATTTCAACCATAGGGATGAAGAAGGATTTGATTTTGGTCTTACAAGTATGAAGTAGGCAGCCGCAAGTAGAAATCCAGATGGGCCAAAGGCGCGCCAAGTGAGAGTGCCGAGCAGGAACGAGGAGGCCGCACCTGAAAGCGACAGGCCGGAGACCAGAAGTGGAGATCCAAGAGCGAAGATGATGGCGTTACTAGCAACGGCGGACTGCCAAGTCGGCGGCGAGGTCCGAACGAATAGGATTGCTCGGTTCACGATGCCGAGATCGGGGAGAGATGCCTGAGCTCTGATCGGAGTCCGGATCTGCAGTCTCGTCGGTGGCCTGGGGTTCGGGATCGGGAAACTGAGACTTGAGCGGCGAGAATTGAGGAATGGCGGGTGCAGGAATGCAAATGTGTGAGCTGAACTAGTCATTTGAGCTTCGTTTAAAGGATTTATTACAGAGTGAAGCATTTGAAATTGGAAGTTCCAGTTCCAGTATATGAGATTTAGATGAGTAATGGAAGATGCACAGTACATATGAGTTCATTTTGAATCAACAAAATATCTATTTAATTTATTTTTTCAAATTACTTCATATTACATATTCTTATTTATCAGATCAGACCAGAAACAACTTTAAATATAACTGCAATCACAATATATCAAATCTTCAAAAACTTGAATGAGATCAGACGAACAGAACACAACCTTAGCATAATATTCTTAAATGCACCATCTTTCCACCCAAAAAGATCAAAGAAAAGAAATGAATCAGACCACTTCTTCCATCTCAATTTCCTGCATCATCTTCTTCCTCTCCCAAAGCATGGCTCGTTCTTGCTCAGCCACCAGCCCCTTCCCCGGCACCACCAGGCCCAACAAACATCACCGCCATACTTGAGAAGTCCGGTCAGTTTGCGACATTCGTCTGCCTCTTAAAGAGCACACAATCCACTGACCGGATCGTAACATATTATTATTGCCAATAATAATGTGTACTGTGTGTATTTAGTGAACAAGAACATATTTTTATCNTCGGTTCGCGACATTCGTCCGCCTCTTAAAGAGCACACAATGCACTGACCGGATCGTATCGAATTGTTCTTGCCAATAATAATGCGTGCTGTGTGCATTTAGTGAACTAGAACATCTTTTTTTCGCAGTTAAATAAGTAATAGCTCTTATATGTAACGAGTAATCTCACTGCGGAAGCTAAAGAGTGGCTCTGATTCGAAGTTAAGCACCGAAAAGGGGAGGGGGGGAATAAGATTGTGTAAATATGCAGAATCTTGAGCTTAATCTACCTATAAAGTTACAATGAAAATGTCATTTGCCCAGGAGAAGAAAATGGCCTCCCATAACAATGAGAAGAAAAACAAAGAACTCTTTCCTGGGATTATAGACACTAGCTTTTGCCCACCTAGAGTCTAGAGAACAGCTCAACAGTTGCTTCCTTTTAAGTTACTACGAGTAGCGAATAAGCAAGTGCTCAAAATTGGAAACCTCCGAATCCACCGCCGGGAAAGCCTCCTTCGAAATGGAATTGGAAGTTACCACCTTGGAACGGGTGGTGGAATCCTCCACCGCCCATTCCTGAAACTGCTTCATCAATGTCTTCTCCCCTATCATACCGGGTACGCTTCTCTTCATCACCAAGAACCTGCAAGACAGATGGCATCTCAAATCATGTGTGACAGGGTGTATTATTCCTTTTTTTAGGAAATAGAATGGAAGATAACATTTTTCCATTATAGATTCAGCAAAAAAAGACAATTAATAGCAGACCTCATATGCTGCAGCAATGTCCCTGAATTTGGCTTCAGCTTCTTCCCTGTTGTTAGCGTTCTTGTCTGGGTGCCACTGCAAAGCAAGCTTCTTGTATGCCTTTTTGATCTCAGATGCTGATGCAGTTTTGGAAATTCCCAAAATTTTGTACCAATCTTTCCGTTTGCTCAACTTTAATGATCTCTCAGCCCGCATCAGAGTTTCATGAATATGTCTATCCTGTTACCACGAAAAACACATCTTTAATTTAAACAATAATACTGGAACTCCAAAGAAGCACTATAGAAAAACATGAGAGAATTGAGAGTGGATTGTGGAAACAACTATGAGAATGAAATCCATAAGACAAGGAACTCTCCTTCAGACTCCAATACAAACCTGTGGAGATTTTTCTGCTGCCAATTTCAAATCCGCCACAGCTCCCTCCCAATCTTCTACCAAAAGTTTGGCTTCACCCCTCTGTAAAAATGATTCCATGTCACAACATAGTGTTAGCATCGACTAATGCTAACATCTAATGTTATATGATTGGGAAGAACCGGGAAATGCACTCCTAAATTCCTAATGCATTTTAGAATTACATGTTATAGGTTGAGGGACTGAAACGATTGGGGAAAAAAAGCATGGTAATAATTATTCAGAACCTGAGTTAAAGCTTCAACAAGTTCCTCATCAATCTGGAGTGCTTCCGAGCAACTTGAAATGGCATCCCTACCCCTGCCAAGCTTCACTGATACTTTGCAAAGACCAAGAAGAAGATGCACATTGAATGCGGAATGGTTTGGATCCAATGCTATAGCGGCTTTATATTCTTCCACAGCAAGACGAAGTTTGCCCTTAGCTTCATTCTCTTCTGCCTGCACAGAAAAAAAAACATTTCGTAATACACATACAGAAATATTTGCCAACACAGTGAAAGGGTCTATACCAAGGGAAGAATAAGAAATGCATACACTTTTTGTCTTCTTGAGTAGATTTTTCAAGCTGAAATATGCTTTCTTCAGTTCGCTATGTTCAGGATCAAGTCGAAGACCCTTCTGGTAATGTCTGAACAATAACGAAAACATTCAGGATTAATAGGCCATCATGAGCTCGTTTGGCAAGGCAAGTAAAGGTTAAAGTGACTGAATCAAAATATTTTCCTGAACATGCTAAATTGGCTAAATCTGCGGAATTCTCCAAAATATTACAGGATACAAATATCTAAAACTAAAGGTTGAAATGTCATTTTTATTAATTTCAGAAATTTCTGCCAAAAAAAGTAACTTCAGTACTTTTCTTCCCACCAGGCAGATAAGCTGGAACAAATGCATACCATATGGGCATTATGCATATCATCCCATAGTACTAGAATCTTACATATCAGATGCTTGAGTCAGTTTGGTGTAGGTGGGTTGAAAAAAATTGCCAAAACTAATAACCTTAAACAACACCAAGTGCAACTGAACAACGGAAACAGAGTATAGAGAGAGTACTGGAAACGTAATTGTTAACAAACCTTAAAGCAACATCATGATCTGCAAGATAGTAGTAGGCACGGCCACGTAGCAACAATGCATCAATATTATCTTCATCCTCTTTAAGCATAAATCCTGCCTCCGTTATGGCACCTGAATAATCTTTCGCTGCAAGCAATAGCCTTGTTTTGAGAATTTTAGCCTGATAATCCACAGTTGCTACGTCAGGTGTCACACACTTAAACTTCATCACAGCAAATAATTACAAATATAATGTCAGAACATCCCGTTTAAAACAGTGACTTGTATACCTTTGAGCAAGCTGGAGAGAAAACAAGCACAACTTTATCAATGTGTTCCAATGCTTGTGTAAAGTCCCCCGAGTCAAAGAGATTCATAGCCGACTCCAAAGCACCCTTAGCCTGCAACAATTGCGAAAGTTCTCTCTCTGCCACTGAGTTTCTAGGTTTCATCTCCAAAAATTTCCCATAGTTTCTTTCTGATTCCTCATATCTACATTAGCCAAAAATTGCCTGGATCATGTAATTTTTCAATCAGATATTAAAGTAAGAAACAATAGAACCTATTTTGTTCTTTTCTACTACCCATGAACGAGGCATCATTCTATCATTTATATCTCGTCAAACAAAAAGATGGATAAGAGGGAAATGAATGGGTGTTCATAAATACTAGAAAAATTACCCTTTAAAATTGTTTTATAGCAAGACAACATAAGTAGAACCTAGGTAGCATCACACACACACACACACAGAGATACGATCATATTAACTGAATCTTATTAAGGATGTTATATCACTAACCCATTATGTTTTAAGGAGTATTAATGTTTAATTCTTATTATTAAATATTTCAATTAATTAAGTCTTTGGAATAGTGTCAAAATATGTTTTCAAATAGGATTCTTTTTTGGGACGAGGGTACTTTTCATTGCTAACATTAGTATATTTACAAAGACCCCTGATGTTTCATACTTGGAAATAATATGCAAGGATAAAGTTCGCAATCAAATGCACAATGTCCCATTTGCTACCAATATTCGCTCAAAAGTTAGTCTTTTTTACTTGATACTTAGGTTTTGCACTTGCAATTCGCATAAAGCAAAACGTACACTATTATCCTTACACTATTGAGGAAAAAACCCTAGATGAACTATTCACTCTACATTTAAAGAGGAAAAGAATTTGAAACCTGCATAATTGACGAAAAACAGATGCCCGATGCCGGTATGCCTCGGAAAGGGTAGGATCAGCCTCTATTGCCGCATTGAGATCATTAAGGGCTTCACTATATCTCTTAACTTTGACATGCTGTTGAGCTTTTTCAAGCAACGCAGCAGCTTCACCAGGTCTCCCATCTAAACACACCAACCACATTGAACAAGAAATCAATATAAAAAATGCCAACTTTATGCCCGTACAGAACTCCCAATTTCTTTCATTAAAAAAACAAACAGAAAAATCGGAAGGAGAAAAAAACAAATCTTTGCAATTCAGAAACGGATCAATGGCTGCCGTGAAGAGATTTTGAACATACGAATCGGGATATTCATCAATCATATCTCTAATTGCATAACCCAGAAACAAAACGAACAATTTTTCTACATATATTATTGAAGTAGCGAATTCACCTAGGGCAGAAACGAGGGGTTGGAGGAGGAGAAACTGACAGACGAGCACGAAATTGAGAATCAATGCCGATAAGAGAAAGCCTCTCAGTGCCAAGAAATCCATACAACACAGCTTCGTTGATGCCTCCATGTATGTTTTCTGCAGAATTTCAGCGATTTTGAAGGTTTATAGCGATCGGCGCCAGATTTGGAATTCTCAGAAGAGCTTTAAGACGTTCATACTCGCATTTTGTTCCGTACACAAACACAGTAAAAAAGAAACTGCTCGCAGAAGCGAATAGAGATGCGTTCCACGTTGCAAGAACCAATTGTGGCGCACCGCGTGGATAGTCAGGCATGACTCGTTTGCTGGTTGACCCAATAAGAAATTGACACGTGCACATTTTTCTCCTTGGGACCTACTCCTACTTTTCTAATCTGTTTTGTGAGGTTACTTATTAGGGTCCGTTCCGTAGGACTTATTTTTTCTACTTATTACTTATTCTTATTAAAATTAGATAAGATTAGACCAGACCAGACCTAATCAGATCAGATCAGATCAGATTCAATCAGATCAGATCAGACTCAATCAGATCAGATCAGATCCTATTAGATCAGACCAGATCCAATCAGATCAGATCAGATCCAATCAGATCAAACCAGATCTAATCAGATCAGACCAGATCCAATCAGATCAGATCAGACCATATCAAATCCAATAATATCAAATCAAGAAAAATATAAAAGATAATATTTATATTTTTCAAGGATTAAATAATAATTACTATTATTTGATTAAATCACATTACTTTATTTAAAAATACACACACCTAAATCTCAATTAATATTATAATTTTAAATATTATTGTTGTTATATTATTATTATTATTATTATTATTATTATTATTATTATATTTCAACTACAAACCATTATTTTTAATAATTGTTTAGCTTGTAGGATAGAAATGATGCATGGAAGCAATATTAAATCTTACAAAGTTTAATTTTTCATACTTTAAAAAGAGTTATTTAAAAATACTTGTTTATAAATTAATTATACAAAACTTAGTTTTCAAACCTATAAATATTTTATACTTAAAAAAACTTACTTTTAAGCTTTAAGATGGTAAAATATACACAATGGTGAGTTTATGACAAAATTGATAGAGGTGAAAAGGATATTAGTGTTTAAAATTTTATATGATATTTAATTTGTAACATGAAATATATTATTATGTAATATGTATATAGAATGTATATTCTTGTAGAATAGCATCAATATTTTCTAATATTTGGTTATTTTAATACCGATTATTTAGTTTTCACAAAAATTTAAAAAAATTGTGATATTGAAAAGATGTTTAATATTTTTTAAAAAAGTTTAAACATATCAATGATTAGCTGATTTTCTTATTTTACTTTTTTATGTATATATGAATTGTAATACTTTAAAACTACTCCCTCCGTCCTAAAACTTTCTTCCCAGAGCACTATTCCAACTTCACGGGAATTTATATTTATTTGTGTTTTTTCATGACCTATATGATAAAATAAAATATTATTGTCACCACTTGTTTTGTTGAACTTTTGATGTAGTTTTTAAATATGTATGTTTATTTTTTTATTTCTATACCAATATTTAAATAAAATAAATTGAAAAAACTTGAGATTTTTCTTCGTTTTGCGAACCGGGAAGAAAGATATAGGACGGAGGGAGTATTAAATTTTGTAATAACTTTAAGTTTAGTTTAAATCAAATTTAAATTCATTTACACAAGATCTAATTAGAGAAAATCAAATCCAATCGGATGAGATCAGATCCAATCAAATCATATCAGATTCAATCAGATCAGATCAGATCCAATCAGATCAGATCAGACCCAATCAGATCAGATCAGATCCAATCAGATCAGATCAGATCAGATCTAATCAGATCAGATCCAATCAGATCAGATCAGACCCAATCAGATCAGATCAGACCCAATCAGATCAGATCAGACCCAATTAGATCAGATCAGATCAGAACTTCAAAAATTCAGATCAGATCAGGCGTACGGAACAGAGCCTTAGCAATTAGCATCTTTAGAGTTTAGATGGAGTGACTTATGAAGAGGTTACATTGGTAAATGTACTAGGTAAACAATAGAAAATGAAATTGACTTTAGGAAAATAAATCATTTTCCAAATGTCATTTTCTAGCTTTCCAAACGGAGCTTAAGGTTACTTCAAGAAACAAAGTTTTTAAAAAATAAAGTGATCGGTGTTCTATATGTGTTCCACGTAAGCTTTACATCATATTTTTTTAGGTGAATCAATACTCTAAAAAATCTTGTATTGGAAATTTTTTTTAGCGTATCACTAATAGAGCTGGTATTGAAGGACATTGTGGATGGGGGTATTACCTTTTTTACTAATATGTCATAGATAATAATTTTCACTCATAAGAACTTATGTTCGCAAATTAATGTGATGGTGCCAACTTTGATATATAATAATATTGAGCAATGCTAGGGGTACACCATGTACCCAAAGGTGTACCCCATTTGTCCCTCACCCCTTTCTCCACCACATACTTTTATTTCATTTTTAATTATTTATTTATTTTTAAGTTTTTGCCTATTTATGTGGTGGAAGGAGGTGATGGGGGCACACCTAGCATTTTTCAATAATATTATTGCTTTCCTAATAGGACTGTTCATAGTTCGGTCATCCACTTGAAAAATAGTACGACAATTATCAACTTTGGTGTTATATTAACATTGTTGCTTTCTCGATAGGACTATATACACTCTTTCATGTTGGAGTTTAATCATGATCCAACAAGGTTCATATAACTTAAAGGAAAAACACAATGAACCACATGAACGTTTCACGACTAAATGATAAGTGAAACTTTAATCATAATCTCACTAATAAAGCATGAAATAATACGAATATAATTTGTTCTACTCTTATTTGATTTTAATAAAAATAAATTTTCTCACGGTAAAGTACAAAATTAGGTTATACTCCGTACTTTTTATATGTATTTGATCTGACCTAATCTTATCTGATTTGTTCAAATCTTTTTATTGTATCTGATTTAATAAGAATAATTAGTCGAGTATAATAATTCCAGGGGTCAAAATTTAATAATGGAGTAGTGAGAGGACTGCCATAGAAGGTAATGAAACTGTTTCTCGTTTAATTCGACGAGAGCTACCGTCTTAAATTTCTGTGCTCCACGTCGAACCAGACGGATCGTGTTGACGACAACGCTGCTCCGGTAAGATCAGATCGATTTCTTCTCCTCTCCGCCGCCGCCATGGACGCCGATGGCGATTTCGAGCACGAAGGTCAATTTGAACGCGTGGTAACGCCTTCTTCATATCTTTCCAATGTTGATTCCCCGCTCAATTCTTTATTTGCTGCATTTTGTTTTTGTTTGTTGATAGATCTGTAGTTAGTCTGAATGATTTAATTAATTGGCCTTTTTTTCAAATTCTACAAATTATTCTGCTCGAATGTGTCAGGTCTGGGTGCTGATATATGATCCCAGCTTTTCTTTCTTTTTTGGAAAAAATTATGTGCTTGTTTTTTGTTTATATTTTTAATGAAAAAATTTGAATTTTTACTATGGTAAAAATTGCGCAAATTCAAATTGGTAGTTTAAAAGGGAAAGGAGTCATCTATATGCATCTCCTAAAGAGAAATGATACTCTATATGCCATATAAAAAGAGTCCTAAACCAATGATGCATCTGCTAAATATCCAATTTCCAATACTTATACATTAATTAAGTTTTAAAAATTATAAAAGTGTACATTTGTAAAGAAGGACTGAACATAGAAACAACGCATTGACGTGCAAGGATTGAACACCAATCTTCAAGGATGGATCCCGACGTGTAAAATAGTAAGTACTATTAAAGTTGGTTACGCTCAAATGAGCCAGTCAATAACGAATACGGAGTACAAGATGCAAAACATGCCTTTTAAGATGAAACCCCAACTAGCTAGCTTGTCCAATTAAAAGAATTTGATTAAAGGGTTGCTTAGTTGTAGGAATATTATTATGGGAGGCTTCTCTTTTATATGAAATCAGGTTAAAAAGAAACCCGTTGTTCGACTTGTTCCAGAGTTGATTGGTTGGAATAACAAAATACTCTGTATTAGATAAACCGTACTCTGTATTAGACATATGGAACTGATCGTCCTGTCTCTATCAGATACCATTTTTCAGAAACCATGTTCGTCAAAGGATTTGGAATGGAATATTCTTATGGAGCTAGACCTGTAGCTTTAGCCGTTTCGTCGTTTCAGAGTTTTACGTGGATTCTCTAACCCCCTCTTTTGCTTCCTTATGAATCCGAGATTCAGATGTTAAAGTTATTCCCAACTTTGGATGATGTATCAATATCAGTATTGTTGCCGACACAAAGATGCTCATAAGATTTTCCGTGGCAGAATATGTTTTGAGAGAATTTTTAGATTGGCTTTTAAATCCATTATTTTTCTTACAGGTTAAAGCAATATGAGGCACCTCTACCAGTTTTTTCCTCCTCTTTTGACTACCCTGTGCACTAACAAAAGAAAAAAACCATTAACTTTAAGTATTTCTTTCTTTATGAGCAAAGGAGAAAAATATGGCAAAACATTTCTCTGTCATACACCTATTTGCATTTTGATTCTTGTGTTCATTGTCTGAACTTAAATTATTATGTTACCTTGCTCATTTTAGGTAAACTCCGGTAAGTGGTAACGGAATGTACAGCAATGAAATGCACGTTTAATGTAAATTTAGACTTCAAATTGATTTGAATACCTTACGGCTTATCCAACTTTACCTAACCGATCTTGTATGATGAATAAGCAGAGAAATGTGGCGAAAGATGTTGAGGTGAAAGGGTTCAACCCTGGATTAGTTGTCCTCCTCATCGTCGGTGGTCTTGTATTGGCATTCCTTGTGGGGAACTACTTGCTCTATAGGTATGCGCAAAAGACTCTCCCCCCGAAGAAAAAGAAACCGGTTTCCAAGAAGAAGATGAAGAAGGAAAGGCTGAGGCAAGGCGTCTCTGCACCTGGGGAATAGATTGATCTTTATAGCAGTGAAGTCCTTTCAAATGTTGAGTTCATGACTGGAATGTCCAAGTCTTTCTGACAAGCTTTATTCTTTTTTCCCCCAGAGATGTTTTGCCTTCTATTTATGAACATGTCCTCTAGTTGGTTGGTACCAGTAAGCTAAAATTGAATTTTCTTTTACTTGTTTGTGTTCTTATGGCTAAATTACCAGAAAATTGTGTTAATCTGTGACACAAAATTTATGGGTTGCCTTCGAAGACCCAAAAGGATGTGGGATTAAGGTTGGGTGCAGTGTCCCAACCCATTCATGCCGTGATCCATTCTCACACCATGAATCCAAATAACCCTAATCATCCGTATTTTTACAACAACCGTTCTCCTTTCAATCCAAATGTTCCAAACGTTGTGAATTGGTTCGGTAATTGTTAGATTTTGGTTCTGGTGAGAATGTGATCTTATGAAAGAAATAAGAATGCATCTGGTGCTTTAGATTGTGAGATATAAGGGTCAAGATTGCATCAAAATTAGGTGCACCAAAATGGTTTGAAAATGCATTATGTCGAAATGTACCAAAATTCTTTGAAAATGCACTATCTCAAAATCTGAGTACAGGATGCAATCTAAGCCGCACGATGCATCAGATCCAAAGGCTAGATTTTATTCTTATTTCTTTCACCAAGGTGCATTCTCACCTGAACCAGCCCCGTAATTGTTATCGTCCCAAATCTGAGGGATTTGAGTATTGGGCTTCATCCTAAACTACTTCTCTGGTGGCTTGTAAGTTTTCACGTTCTCCAATTTCATTCCGGAGACATAACCTCTATACATCTCAGAGACGCAACCTCCCCACAACCCTTTTACTCAGCTTGAGGCAAAGTCCTAGAACAAGAAGAAAGCCTTAAAGAAAAAAGGCTCCAATTTGAAACTCGTGAAGGCACCGATGAAAGGAACAAGTTACTTTTGGTTGGATGAGGAGAAGGCATCGTTGACTAAAAGTTCGATTGACTTGTCGGAGGATCCAATTCAAGATATGAATATTATTTAATATTTAATTTTTTAATATTTTTTTGACTAGTACATTTTTTTCCTAAATTTGTAGCCAACCCCCAAAAAGATACGAAGTAATACTTTTTGGGACCGTGTCTACAAACAGTTTCATCAGAAACTAAGGAAGGATACCTAGTTAACTAGTAAGTGCCGCGACTTAACGAAAAAGGTCGACAAGTTCATCAAACACTTCGCCTTCCACACAAACAACAGGATAAGTGGGTGCAGTGAAGAGAATATCCACGACGCTGCACTTCAAGCGCGAAGAGAGCTACGCTTTTGGTAATACAAGGGTGTGGAAGGTTATGCGGAAATCTATGGGTTGCAAAGAAATAGTACCCTTTCAATCGTCTAAGCAATCGGAGACTTCACCGTCCAAGAAAATAAAATGTTATTATAAAATTGGTAACTTATTAATTATAGAAATTGAATTGATAATTATTTAAAGACATGAACATACCAAGTTTGTGTTCTTCCGATTCATGATCTGAAATTCAAACATCATCCCAATGCGATCTTGGATTTTCTGTTGAAGAAAAAAGTTGATGGAGGAGATACTTGATGAAATTGAATTTAATGTAAAATTTGATAGAGATCCATATTGAAGATTGCAATTGGTCTATAATTGATTTTAATTTTGACGAAAAATGCATCTGGAGGAGGAGACGATGATAAGGGCGAAGATATTTATTTCGAGCATATCGCGCACCGACGCGTTCAATTTTTAATATGGAAAATAATTCTTATTTCTAAATCGCTATTTTAGCATTTGTCTTATATGACATTAGAGTTATAAATGAATCAAATATTTTTTTGTTCAATTCGTGATTCATATTCAAATTAGGTGATTTGTATTGGATTTTTTTGAATCCGAATACAAATCTGAATAAATATTTGAATCCATAACGAATACAAATTTGAATCAAGGGTATTCTATTCTCGAGTTTGATGAATATATTCGAAATTTAAATTATAATACAAATAATACATACATACATACATACATACATACATACATATATATATATATATATATATATATAGTTATTTTATTCATTTACCCCTAAAAAAGAGAAAACTCACTCCAAAGTCCAAATCTGTCTCCACAGTCTAGATTGAAGTCCAAGGTGCGGGCCTTCTTTCTACTTGATAATAGACACTTGAGATAAAAAAAATTGTGCTTTATATTTTCATTTTCGAAATATTAAAGATATGAGTTTACAATTTTTGTTTAACAGCTAACGCATAACTTTGTACATACAAATTGTTTTTGAAAAAAAATATTGTAATATGAATTAGAATTTTAATAAATAATTTAAAGGTTGTAAAATATCTTAAAATCTAAATAAATTGAATATTTTTAAATGAACCGAATGTATTTAAACGAACCGAATATGTCTAGTATATTAAAAGAACTGAATTTGAATATCGCTTAAAATTAGCGAATACGAATATTATTCATGAATATTCAATTTAATTCGGTTCGTTTACAACCTTACATGGCATACGGACCTTTTGGAAAAAAGCACAGTGACGTGTCAAAAGAACTCCACGTAGTGTCAACTTCTGGTGAATTGAGTCTGAATTATTATGCTTCCTGCGTTTCTAATTTGATTAATTTTCCGTCTTTTGAAATCATTTTATTTACAAATTGGAATATCAAAAAAAAATTACATAATAAAAAACTATGTCAAAAGTTCTACAAAATGAGAGATCACAAGAATATTTTACTTTATCAAATACTCCGTATTCAATAAAAGCACACAGATAAACAAAAATTGGGGCAAGACTAAAAAGTAAAAACTAATGGAATGTTGATATAACAGGTAATGGGTGGGGTTACTGGTGAGAGTCCGGCCCTTTGCAAAAGCTCTTAGCGTTGTATGCATAACATGATCGATCCAGAGTCAATCACGCACAAGGCCAAAGCCTGACTCACATGGACCGAGTACATTGAACCGACTCTTGAGCCGAGTACAACCACAACTGAGAGTAACAAAAACAACTTATACATTTTTTTTTTGTAGAAACACATCATTAATAAAAGAAAATCCTGATATAGCACAGCAGAGCCAGAGCCACACCCTATAATACAACTCAGTATCAAATTATTCAAAGGTACTATATGACACATAGGAAGAATTAGGAACGAGTACTGTACTTTTACAATGACCAATCCAACAATTACACTCTTTCAGCAGCAGAACAAAAACAGCCGGGCAGCGTGAAACAGTGTACGCTTGCCCTCAACGGCCCATACTCTGTTGTCCGGGTGGGACCATGACCAAGACTGGCTGTGGGGCGTTGAATCCGGGGTGGGGAAGCCTGCGGCGAACCTCACGAGCCTCTTGGCACACGGCACAAGGGTGGCAAAAGACATGAGTGCCCATATCGCACGCAGATTCACACTGTTCGCGTTGAACTTCGTCTTCAATGAAGGTTCCACAACAGCCATATGATCTGGCAAGTGCCTCACAGCTTCCCTGTTTGCCAAAACACATTTCAACTTTCAAGAATCAACAAGAGGAAGGTCCGTATATACTTTTTGCTTTATCCTTTGAATGAATTACGTTTTAAACTCAGTCTAATGAAAAATTTCTCTAACATACAATTGAGATTTGGGAGCCCGTTTGGTGATGCTTAGCGTTGAGGCTAAATGGCCAATTCAAAAAATCTAGAAACTATTTAATGATACTCCGTATGTTTTTTAAAAACGCAGTTATGGGTGTTATAATACTACCTCCGTCCCACTCTTTTTGTCCAGTTTTGACTTTTGGAACTGTTTATCTAAGCACTTTGACTCATCAAATTCTCTAAATGTGTAAGTCTAAAAATAGTTATGTATGATCTTGTTTGATTTGTCTTAACATATAGATTATTGATATATAATTTTTATAATTTTTTAATATACAAATTACAAGATAAAATGGATTAAAGAAGTGCATTGGATGGTGTGCAAAAATGAAAGTGGACAAAAAGAGTGGGACGGAGGGAGTACTACGTATGACTCCTAACCCCTAAGGTGCTCCATTGGACCTCGAAGTGATTCCTACCCCCACAAATCCCACAACCCCTCTTTAGCCAATATGATAGAGTACTATTGTGGCATATCATTAACCTAGGGGGTGGCTAAAAGGGCAGGCAACAGGTAGGAAACACTTCGAGAGCAAACAGAACACCGTAGGGCCCTCGAATGGCAGGTGTAATAATATGACACATATCCTTGCTGTCAACACATCCTTGCTCATGTTTTTCATGTTTTTCGGGTGTCATAATATGCTTGCAGTCAACACATCCTTGCTCAAGTTTTTAAACAACCCAAACAAAAAGTATATCTCAAAATAAAACCAGGAGTGTCAAATTTAGCATTTGAGCTAGCAACAGTAACCCCTACACTTTATTTTACATTTTCAACCAACATAACAAGCATTGGAACAAGATTTGGTGTTTGGTGAGGAATTGGTTGATATAAGCCAACCAAATAGACACTAATAATCTTCTTACCTCCAAATTAAACTTGTGGCGAATTGCAGTACGGGTAGGATAAGAGAACCAGGGAGCAAGGCAGTTCCAACCAAGAAGCAAATTCCCGATTACATATAAACCAGTGTAAGGCAAGCAGTGATTGGCAAAAGCCCCAGGATCAGAACCAATTCTCTCAACGTTGCTCCCATATAGAACACAAGGGGCCACACTTCCTAACAAACCTAGTTCATTTCAATAATACCCAGAGGGTTAAAATGATAATCCAACATCAGATGAGCAATTAACTTATTTTTAAAAGATGAAGCTATTTGTACCCCAAGGATTTATACCTCATTTTGTACACCGCAGGGATGCACCAGCATTTTGTTTTGGTGTAATGCTAATTTTTGTTAACGCACCAACACTTTGTGTCAGTGTGAATTTTTTTTAACGCACCAACACTTTGTGTCAGTGTAAATTTTTTTTAACGCACCAACACTTTGTATCAGTGTAAACCATCAAAATGTTGGTGCATACCTTTGGTGTACAAATGGAGTACAAATTTTGTGGTACATGTAGCATGCTCCTATTGTTAATCTTGTACTCATTCCATTCATATAATCATATATTTAATTAATTATTCAAGTGGTTTTTTAAAACACAAACTTTCTACCATTTGTATGTAGGGTGGGGTAATGTCTCTCTGCCCCACTTGTTGAACTGAACAGGGTAGGTTGTTGTTGACCTTTTGTATGTTGGGTAACTAGGTAAGGTAACTTTTTCGGCTAATTTGGACAAACTTTGTACATTAATTAAATAAAGACTACTTTGTATATTAATACAATGAAATACTTTTTTTATTCTTTTTTGCAACATAAATTTAATGATATCATTTTTGTATTAGTAAGAGATACAATTTTTATTTAATTGATTATCAGAAACCATCCAAATTGGCCGAAAAAGTTAAAACAGGATAAATACACCATGAATACATGATCATATGATTTTGCAGAGTTGGGTGATTAGATGTAAACCTAAAGTTTGTCAAATTAGGGACAGATATAAAAAATAACAATCCAAATCGAGAGCTAGATCTTTTCCCTGATTGCTAAATGCTAATAAAGAATTGATATAAAACAAAGCTAACAAAGAATTGATCATAAACAAAGCTAACAGAGCCCAATTTTTGAAATGGAAAATTCGATGAAAACGATAATGTATTTTTATTAAAAAAAACTCACAAACTTCAAGATCACTGCTGCAGAAATCATCATTCCTCCCAAGACAGGCGAAGAGGCTGGAATCCCACTGAGACCTGGCGGCCTCACCAACCACGCTGTATCTTAACGGCAGCCCGTCGGCGGTCCATCCCATCGGAATAGCAGCCGGCGATTGCTTCTCCGGAGGAACCGTGGCTGCGGCGTCCTGTGATGCTGCGTTCTTCTCATCTTTCGCCTGGGGTTCTTCTTTCGCTGGCAAGAGAGGACTCGATTCTACGGTAACGGCCATCGATCGAGATGTAATTTCCGGCAAACTTTAGATCCAAGAAATGTAATCGATGAAAAAGAATGGATTTCTTCCCAAATTCCAATTGAGCTTTCTCAATTCTCATGTACCGTAGAATACTGGAATTTTTTTACGCGGTGTCGGTTCGGGTCAACCAAGAAATTACTCCAACCTTTTATTAAAAAAAGATTTCAAATTTTATTTGGCATTAATATTATACTCCGTATAAAATTAAAGTACATACTCCATTCCCCAAAAAAAATTATGTTTCATTTTTTACGTGTCTCATAAAATATTTTTATATCATTTCAAATGCCAAAAAAAGTTTCAAAACGACTTCTACTCATAGTAAAGGATAAATATGGTAATTTTTAAGTATTTTAAATGTGGGTAGAAGTATTTTTTGAGATACACAAAAAATGAAACGTATCCTTTTTTAAGAGACCGAGGGAGCACTTGAAAGTGATCCAAATCCTTGCGCCCGGCCTTACGGGCTCGCATAAAATTTGGATTTGTTGATCGATCGATACCGCATCCGGATCCGGACTAAGATGACTTGGATGATTGGTGGACCAATCATTCGCTTATAGTGTCATGGATATGCAACACGATTGAACCATCATTGCGATCCACGATCTCTACGGGTGAATCTACATCCGATCTGTGGGACGAACTAAAAGCGTGTTTTTCGGTTGTAAACGGACCTTGCATCTAACAACGACTGAAACGTGAAATAGCTAAATGCAAACAAAAGAGACTTACCATAGTGGCATGTTATGGCAAGTTGAAGAAATTATGGGATGATTTGGCCGACATCGACAAATTCTCAGATTGTGTTTGCATAAATTCTACAGGCAAATTGGCGACAGCCCTAACAAAGAAGAGGGAGGAAGAAAGGGTTCATTTGTTCTAATGGGCGTCAACGAAGCCACGTACGAGTCCATTAGGTCACAAGTTTTGTCTCAAGATCCGCTGCCCACCGTCGCTTGCACTTATTCAAGAGGAGACCGCTCGTTACATCAACATCCCTAATCGAGTTAATACTCACTGTATGTGTCTTTGTCACGTTTTTTCTTCCACCGGAAAGAATTTTTCAATGTTCATATACAAATATGATCATGAATCTTTATTTGCATTCTTTTTACTAAAGTTGAATATATGTATTATGAAGTTTTAAATTTTGATTTCCATAGAAATGGTATCAATGTTGAATGGGTTGCTAAAGTGTTAAAAAGAAACCATTGATTTGCCATTTAATGTCTTTGATTTATATTTTTCCCATTACATGAACCAATGAACCAAGTATGGTTTTACACTTTTTGTGACCACACTACCTAGCACATAATGTTGGTTAGTGTTTGTTTTTCTGTCAATTTCAAATCTGCATATTATTGTACTATCAAACAGCAGAATTGAAATTAATGTCTCTAATTTTAATTTCATAATTTGAATTCTATGTACCAAACGAACTCTAAAGTATCTTTTCAATCAAACTTATGCTATTATTCAAAAAAGGATTCACGTTCTAGAATCCTTAGTTAAGAATTCATAATAACGAAAATAAATAATCATACAAGAAGCGTGTTCTAAATAAGGGTAAAAATCAACAAATATATCCCTACAAAGTTCAATTACAATTCCACCTCCTTTTAATTTGAAATCCATAAGTTTTTATTGTGTGTATTCCTAATTAAATTTAGAATTTGCAGAATAATAAAAAGCATATTATATATCCTCCGTGTGTGATTTTTCTATTGAACAATATCATATAGTGTTTATACTTAAAATTAATGATTTAGATATTATCAAACGAATTTTTAAATTTTTAAAAATTCATCTAGAATTATAGAATAAATATGTTTCCATGCAACGTGAAATACTACTTCGGCTTCATTTTGCAACACTCTAAGAGTTTAGCTTTAAATCTTTAGTATTAACATTTTCTAAATTAGTTTATACCATTAAAACTTTACCAAATACGCCAATGTTAATTAACTCTTTATTACTCCGTATAATTAACTTTCACAATGTATTGAAAAAATAAGTGAATGTAAATACATTTTATATTTTATGTTTATTTTTAATTAATATATTATGAAAGTCACCATAAAATGTAGATTAATAAAGAAGGAAGGGAGTACATTGGAGTATATAAAAACAAATAAAATTACTAGTTCCTACTAATTAAATTTAACATAATTGTGAAAAATAGTGTGGCAAAAATCAAAGGGCTGAAACGAGGCAGCAGCAAGTGAGGACGCCGTCAAGCTCGTGGCAAAACCCGCTGTAATAGCCTTGCTTTTTACACAGAGTTGCGCAGTCCCCCACCTTTGGGTCACAGGCCCAATTGCACAGCCCATATCCCTCCGTAACTCCTAATATATAAATTATAAACAAATCATTAATTAGTTTCACGTAAAACAAGTCTCTTTCAAGTATATTCCTTCCGTTTAATTTTTTTTTGGCTCAAATGGATAAATTTTGGAAATTAATTAAATAAAAAATTTCAAACGATATTAGTATGCAAAGAAATACATTAAATTTATCTTAATGAACATTTTCAGAATTTTATTTCGTTGGATTAATTTAATAGACAATATAAAATGAGAGTAATTAATAATAAAAAATTCATCTAGTTTTACTCAAAAAAAATTTGAACTTGAGAAAAAAGAGGGATTAAGTGAGTAAATATTAAGTAAAAATAACCCATGAATTCTTATACACATCTAAACTCAAAAGTGTGAATAAGAAATTAATTATGAATATATAGACTTAAGTATTTTACCAATATTAGAAGAAATAAAAGCAAGGCAGATGACGGCAAAGAAGAAGCACAAAACGGAAGCTTTACCCATCTTCATTATATACTGGGGAAATGTTATGTGAGAATTAGCCCATATTTATATGCATAAATATAGTCGTTAATTTTGGAGAAAATTCAATTCATTTCCTAAAATATACCGCCATGCATATATACACATTTGTTAAAAAATTAATTACAGATATGGTTCGCATTTAAAAGTGCGATTTCCTGATAAATTTAATCAAAAATTTACTTTATCATTATTTACTTTTTTACTCTAAACACAACAAAAATATTTTATTTTATCAAAAAAACAATTACTAATATATTTTGCTTATTGCACTTGGATTTTCTAGTAACATGTTTTAAAAATAAAACAAAACAATGCCTACGAATCATAAAAGAAACCTTGATAGAAATAAATAAATAAATAAAATGACTAACATATTTTATTTGTCTCTTTAATAACACTTTCAATCTGCAAAAGGAAAATGATGAAACCTTAAATATATACTCTGCATACAATTGTACTCCCTCCGTCTCAATTTAAATTGCTTATTTATTTATATATATACTCAACATTATTATATGAATATAATATTTACAAATTATATAAGGGTCATTCAATGTACATGAAATTAGTTACAACTGGATGTGTACAGTCAACTTTGCAAATTTATTACATGTCTCACCAACTACCTAAATTTAGACATAGTCATGTTCTTTTGGATTAGAAAAATTAACTTTTTTTTCTTATTTTTTTAACACTTTCTAGTTCTTTTCAATTTATTCTAATTTCTTCCAACAAGAATTTAAAAAAGGTATTTCTATATGACAATATACAATAACATTATATATCTAGATTTCAAACATATCACCTCAAACACGCACAATGATGAATTCTCTTTCATCCAAAAATAAAGTTTTCTAACATATTTATTTGAGTGATCATTTAATTAGATACCTTTTTAATACTTTATTTCTTCCAATATTTTCCAACTCCTTCAAAATTTTTCCAACTCTTTTTACTTTCTTCCAACATCTAACCCTGAAATTTCAACCCAAAAGAACATGGTCATAGTATATTATGTAGTATGACTTATAAGTGAGTAATGATAGAGATATACCAAAAGTTTACTCTATTTATACACCATAAATTTTTCAATAATACATTTTAATTCGTTTTACATTTTTTCTCCAATCAATAAATGGATAGTGAAAAAACTATTGGGGTACCTACGTCTGGTAGTTTTCATTCTATACATTTTATGGAGAAAAAAGACTAAAATAAAAGTAAAATACTAAAATTATACCAAAATAGAATTTCTATGTTTTATTCTCGGTATAGAAATTAAAATACATTTATAGTGTCAATCATGCCAATTTACAATACCGAAAAGTATATTGAAATGTTCATGTGCATTGTCAATGCACATTACCACTGTGTGAACTCCTATTTAGAAAAATAAAAATATGAAGCTCTTATTTTAATATTTTTTTATGTTTCACTTCTATTTAGGGCGGTTTCTTTTTTCTATTGGCAATTTGCATTTTGATACTTTTTACTCGGTATCATTCTGCTAAAATGTTTTGGTTCAATTTTGTTGAATAATTAATGCACGATCTATTTATTTTTTGTTCTGTTTTGAAAAATGCAAAACTGAGTAAATTAAACTAATCAATGTCTGCTAGTTTTAGATGAGAAAAGTTAACTTTCAACTTTTTCCAATTTCGTATCGTTTCTTTCAATTACTTTAGTTTCTTTTTAGTTTTTTCAGTTTTTCATTCTCTTTCCTCTTTCTTCCAATATCTTAAAAATTCAGTTTACGTATGATAAATATACAACAAAATCATATATCTAAATTTATAACATATCATCTCAAACACGTATAAAGATAAAAAAATCTAAAATTAGTTTTTTACAAACTTGTTTGGGTGATCATTATTTATGCAATTTTTGAACATTTTATTTTTCCTAACATTTTCAACTTCTCCCTGCTTTTCAATGAGGAACTTACCTATATATATAGAACTAAAATACAGTGAGTTTTCCAATGTAGTACAGTATGTTTTAATTATTCAATGCAGTACTACTCTTCAATGTCCACTCGACATTGTTCAAGTAAATGTCCACCGTCACTAGGTATTGTTTCCGCCACTGAACATTATTTAAATATTATTTACGGAATAAAAAATTTTATGTATTACATTGAGAAAAAAGATATATTAGTGTGTTTTAGAACCATTTAATGCAAATTTCACTATTTCAATTTCTTCTAGTTTTTTTAACTTCTCTCAATTTTTTTCGATGTCCAACATTATAATTCCAACGGGAAAAAGAGAAGTATTTAATGTAAAAAAGTATGCCACGAACTCAAGGTCTACTCTTTCATTTTTTTTAATGCACCTACTCTTTCAATTTAAATTGGATACTAACCAAATAAAGTCCGTATATATAAGTATATTCAAAGAATCAGGATTAGCCCTAAATAAAAAGAACCAAGATTAGAAGAGAAATGTTTGGATCACAAACAAAGTGATCACAAATATCACAAATTTATCATTTTTTAACTATATGATTGTTGGAATATTTCAAATGGATTTAAATATCTTTTATTATATGGAGTATTAATTATTCCGTATTTGAAATCATTATCATATTAACTTCATCCAATTAAATCCATACTTTATTTAAAAAGACATGGATTCTCAATTTTGTTTTCCCGCCCATTTGGCCTTCCACCAAAAATGGTAATTGTTCACTCCATATGGTAATTACTCAATTAAAATGGAGTTACACGGGTCATTAATGGAGTTACTGTAATTAAGTAATTACTTATTTAAAATGGTAAGTAATTTAAAGTAATAATAAAATATTCAATTTCTTAGGTGTTCTAATTGTAAAAGATAAGTAATAATAAAATATTCAAACGAGTGTTCTAATTGTAAAAAAGTAAGTAATAATAAAATATTCAAACATAATTACACTTACCGTTAATAAATCAATCTTTTTTAACCAGTTTATACGAATGGTAATAATAGTAATTAATTATATTTACTAATATATATGTGATAATATCTAATAACTTATTTCATTTAAAAATGGTAATTAAAAACGGTAATAAAAATACGTATAGAGTAATAAAAATAGGTATAGAGTAATAAAAATAGGAAAATACGTATAGAATAATGTATATTTTTAACACGTATACAAAAATGGTAATAAAAAATTATTAATGGTAGACATGTTGAACATTAATGCAGCGAAACAAATTTGGGTAGATTCTTCATACCATAACTTGCATAAACGAAATTAGAAATTAAAATATAAATGAAAAATGCATACCGTTAATAAATCAATCTTTTTTAACCAGTTTATACGAATGGTAATAATTGTATTTAATTATATTTACTAATATATATGTAATAATATCTAATAACTTATTTCATTTAAAATGGCAATTAAAAACGGCAATAAAAAATACGTATAGAGTAATAAAAATAGGTATAGAGTAATGAAAATAGGAAAATACGTATAGAGTAATGTACATTTTTAACACGTATACAAAAATGGTAATAAGAAATTATTATTGGTAGAGATGTTGAACATTAATGCAGCGAAACAAATTTGGGCAGATACTTCATACCATAACTTGCATAAACGAAATTAGAAATTAAAATACGAATAGAGTAATTAGAAATTAAAATACGTATAGAGTAATTAAATTAGAAAAATACGTATAGAGTAATGTACATTTTTAACACGTATACAAAAATGGTAATAAAAAAATTACGGAGTATTAATGGTAGAGATGTTAAACATTAATGCAGCGAAACAAATTTGGGCAGATTCTTCATACCGTAACTTGCATAAACAAAATTAGAAATTAAAATTCGTATAGAGTAATTAGAAATTAAAATCTATACTTTATTTAAAAAGAGGTGAATGTTTTCCTGCTCAAACATGAGACTCATATATGGAAAGTGTTGACAACAAAAATGATAGTTTAATTATTTGGCCTTATTGTTTTCCTTCTATTTTAAATATGTTTTCATTTTTATTTAAATGTTACATCGTTTAAATACTTAAATTAAATCAATTTAAATTGTAGTGAACCATTGGGGAATTAAAGTATGGAAATAAAATACACTACCATTTAAATATTAAAATAAAATTAAAAAACTTTTAATTAATAAAGTATGAGCGAGATTAAAATGATTTATTTCAAAAACTACAAATTAATTATTTATTACAATTTACAAGCACGGACGTGTAAAAATGGTAAGTTTTCTAAAATAGATTAGAAAATATATATGGTACGGTAAGTAAATGATAACATTTAAATACAATAATAAAATAAAAAACTACAAATTAATATTAATACTATAATTTACAAGCATGGAAACATTTTAAAATGACACGTGTTC